ACTATTTATCACGACTACTTGCATTTCCGCTCCTAATATTTAGGGAGTTGTATTTCTGAAATATGCAAAGATATTTTTCACCGATAGCTTCATTTATTACCTTCATCTTTAACAGCTTTTCAGGGCGCATGCTAAATGGCTATAATACGTTAATGGGGCAAAATTGTATTAATATCCTTAAAATCACTTCCACTTAGGTCCTATTATTACATATCTGGCTCGTACCCTATTCTTATTCTTGTTCAATTCAGCCAGGTCCTGGACGAACTTAAGTTTTATTTAAATGGTTTTCCCAAGCGTTCTTAGTACGTGTTATCCGATACTTTCGGAATATTTTTTACAGCATGTCTGGATCTCACTCACCTACATAATCTTAAGGCACCTAGAGGCAATTAGGGATAGCTGAAATGTCTGTGTAGGATCTGAAATCCCAGTGGGTCAGCACTATATCTTATTCACTCACAAACACACTTAAGTGAAAGTACCATTACTAACATGAAAGAGGACGAGCCAAGTCGTTCTATATATGCATATCTATATCAATATATTTTGTTTTTGTAGTTACGAGTATACAAAATATAGGATAGAGCCGTAAATTCTTCTTGATTTAGTTTATATCTGAGACTTTTGCAAGAATGAATTCCATCTCTGATTATGTACCTCATGGTGCACGAAAGCTTAGCTCGGTTTCATTCGAAACGAGGGAGGGTGTCTCTTGGACTACATCAATCTAAACGTCGTATTGAAGTCAAACGGCTGCAGACCAATGTTAATCAGTCGTTGTCTCTCGATGAGATCATCAAACGAATCTGTTCCTTATGTGTTTTCATACGAAATGAATGCCATCGTAAGAGATTAATCGAAATCCATCTTCTCTTTATATACATCTTGCGCATTAATAAACATCGCAAGATTCGAATAAACTTTGGGCTAAAGCTGGCTTATCGACAATTGAGAGTCAGACTTTCTCTTTATTCAGAATTTCAGGTTCATAATATCTCCAGATGGTGATAATAAAAATGTGAGAATGAACCTACATTCTATCCTAGGTGAAATACTTTTAGGACTGAGGGTATGGAGAATTTAATTTGTCTTTACACGTAATATTCTTGCCTATCGGGCCTAGGGCAACCATAAATACCTCGAATGGTTTTTACCAATATTCTTTTACCCTTTTACTTGTGCTCCTTAGACTAGTTCATTCACTCTTTCCATATTTTTTACTTTTTATTTTACAGGGAACTTTCCCTGTCCAACATGTGGTAAAATATTCTACAGTCGAGCGGGCGTCGCACGACACAAAAGTATAGCTCACGGACCTAACCGCGGGCGTCCACGTGGTCGTTGGGCCAATCCTTATCTAGCCAGCATGCGCAGGCGGACTCGACTCAAGGAGGTCATTATTTCTTAATTTATTGGATTTTTGTGATATAATAATAAGTTTATCGATGCAAAATTGTTACTTGATTGAGAGGTGTTAATACCTCGGGTCGCATGCGACGAAACATTGTTAGCTGAATTTCCCCATAGTTATACCAACAAGCTTCACGATAGTATTGAATTTTACTTAGTCTTGCTGACTAAAATGTATTCTCACCCGGGATGGATTGCAGTTTTATCCTATTCCGAGTTTCATCAGTCCTGGCGGGAATCGAACTTGATTTAGCGTATAATTTCGACATGCTTCTTCCAACATTTTTGTTATTAATAAAGAAAGGCTGGTTAATGCCTTTCTATTTAGACTCTCAAGGATTTTTACAATTACTGATTCCTAATCTATATAAAGATTAATTTGCTTGAGCTCAAGAAAGTAAATGACAGACTCAAAAATCGTCATATGAATTTTGTCAAAGGATCCATAACATTGGGCTGGTGGAAACGGAACTGTTGGTGAGTTTTGATGTATAATCCATGTATACAAACATCTCAGGCGAGAAGGCGGTAAGAGCCTTGCCGGAGATATTAACGTGAGATGAGGATATCATAGAGGCAGAACAGATACGGAAGGATTTGTTAACACGATTGATCAACCTAAAGGTAAGGATCACATATTTTATACTTAACGGCAATATCTTCGAGCAAATATTTGGGCTACTGATGGAATCTCCACTCTCACCTCTTTTGGCAAATTTATACACGGACAAATTGGAAAGAGAACTCGAGAAGTCATTACTGAAACCAAGAGTGCCTATGATATACTTGGATGGCTACTCTGCACTTTGGTCACATGATAAGGAAAATTCAAATGAATTCCTTAATTTAATTAACCAACTTAATGGAAGAATTAAATTTATAATGGGGGTAGAGGAGGATGGACGACTACCCTTTCTGGTTATTGAAGCCATGCGCTCCAACGGGACTCTCATCAGGAGACTATACAAAAATAATCTATATGTGGGAATAATCCTTAATTATCAGTCTCACCATAATTACATAGTGAAAATCGGAATACTGAGGAGTTTAATCATCAGAAGCTTACGACTAGCGGACACTGAGTTCTGGGACGAGGAGTTGGACAAACTGATATGGAGTTGCCTTAGTAACATGTACCCCAGATAATTAATAGAAAAGAATTTAGAGGCTATCAAGAGCAGATTTCAACTCGGATTTTATGAAAATCCGATCAGGAATATGAAGGACGACCAAAAGTGTATTTACCTGTCTACATCTGAACTGAGGCAAAAATTGAGACCGTTAGTAAGAAAATCGAACATTAAGGTGATAACAAAGGAGAACACAACACTGTTCACCAGTCTGATGACGCAACGCGAGTAGACTGATAAACTAGATTTTTTGGGAGTATATCACATCAAATGCGGCAACTATGATCATAAGTATATTGATGAAACTGGAAGAAAAATTGGCTAACGAATCAAGAATCATCAGGACTGTAAAAACATGGATACGCACAGGTCCGAAATAGTAGAACACATTGCACAGACAGGCCAGGAAATCGACATAAAGGTTGGCTGCATATAGTGAAAACACGAGAAAACGTAAGATTCGAAGGCCATCTATATACTGACTGAAAGAAATCTAATGAACAGAAAACATGAAAAAAGCAGGATCAGCAAAAACTTTGAATATTGCCTAAACAAACTATGAGAAGACCAGGCAACAATATGATCAGCAAAAAGAAGACGACTGGATCAAGGTAACATCCTTAATTTTGGGGAAAGAAATCGCAAGGGGACCAGAAAGAAACAATTATAAGCCAAAGGAGACGTCTTCAGTGAACCTGATCAAAACAAGTAGAACCACGACATTTGTGAGTTGGCACACAATAGGCTAGAACATAGGAAGTGATGGACTTGGTATTATAGATAGAAACAGGATGGACGAGGTGGAGACGAGCTATTTGGCTAACAACAGACATGTTTGATTATAGACATGGTCCATGAGGCAAAGGCTTGAATATGAGAATTGCTCGGGTTCATTAGCTTCAATTTAGTCTCCCAGAGGCAGAATATGGGAAATAACGCCTCGAGTAGCACAGATGGGGTGGCTGTGGTCGAGGGAGATAGCAGACGGATCCTACAGAATAAGGGGGAGATTCTGATAAGACCTATAAAAGTATGACTGCGAAACAATATGGCAGACTAATCAACATTTCCAACACAAGGTTGAAGGGATTTGAGAGAGATGAGAAAGCCAGCGTGGGGTGTGGAGAGTTCTCATGAAATCACCCAAAAAGGGAACACCATAACACATTTAAATAAGTAAGTAAAATTGTGATAGTGTAGGGGTGATATCAGGATATATGATTGGTGATTAGTCCAGAGAGGAAGGAGATATACCACGATTGTTTAGCAGACAATTGATCGGAGGATCGGCTTCACTTGTCTCTTTGACGAGTTGTAGTGTAGTGCTTAGACTGACAATGCTCACTGACTATGCCGGCTAAACGTCTGGGAATGTACTACGTCCACGGTCCGATTTTAAATTATCGTGCATGCTATGGGCTCCGGAATAGGTTCGTTTCTCTAGATCTTCCTACCAATATGATCAAGTTGCTATAACAAGGTCTAACAGCTTTTATACAACGAAAGGAGACTGTGACCATACAAAAGGCCACACCATTTTGGTCTTCATACCTTCCATAAAATTTGAGTTTATCTTGAACTACCATTAGTTGTTCTTCATTTTTATAGGTGTTGTTGTTTATGAGGCATTTAATAATGAGTTGGTCACTTGCGCATATTTTCATATAACACT